ACACACACACACACACACACACACACACACACACACACACACACACACACCCTTTAAGGGGACCCTCATATTTTACCCTTTAACAACACTTCAAAGTTTTCTGCTGTAAAGAAAGCTGTAATATATAGTAAAACTAAATGTTGCGTGGGTGGCATGAGCTGAAGAAGGCAGAGGCTTGTAAATTTATCCAATGCAGTTTGGCTTTTTAAATTATTTTGTGCCTATTTATGAATAAATATTACAAATTCTAAAAAGTAAGTGTGTTTGCAAAAAAAAAAAAAAGAAAAATAACTACATAAAAAGGGACAAGCATGTGATTCTAGGTTGAAGACGTTATAGGCACTTGCTACTTCAGTAATGTCTATATTATATAAATAGTATTTCAGACACTATGTAGTCTGTTAGATTTTATAAAGATTGGTAGTTATCTGAGCTTAAACATTTTCTCAATTGTATAATAGGTGGGCACAAGTACCAATACATTGGAAAATCCTGACAAAAGGGACACATAGTGTTTGTAACACCGTCCAACATTCCTTGTTTGTAAGTGTTGTATGTACCGTTGATGTTGATAAAAGAAAGTTTATATCTTGATTATTTTGTTGTCTAAAGCTAAACAGAACTTGCATGCAGCAGCTTTCGACTGTTTCCAGAGTGCTTATAATATACATAACTCCCTGGAAATTACTGAGCACTTTGAATTTTTGTTTTGTTTTGTTTTTTAATGTCTAAAATTGTCAGTTAATATATTATTTTATGTTTGAGTAAGATTTTAATATTGCCATATTCTGTAGTATTTTCTTTGTATATTTCTAGTATGGCACATGAGATGAGTCACTGCCTTTTTTTCTATGGTGTACGACAGTTAGAGACGCTGATTTTTTTTCCTGACCCAGAAATAAGACAAAGTTCTGTTCATTTACATGGTTTATTGTTGTAAACATTAAAATTGTCTTTCTTAAAGAAAGAATTTATCAGGAAAAAAAATGATGACTAAACAGCACCTGGGAGAAGGAGGCAAAAGTGGAGATTGATTTGGGGTAGGTCACTTACATGACATCTGAATTTCAGACTGACAGCCTGGATCCACTGTGGCAAAAGGAAGGGTGTAATTGAACTAATTACCTAGAGAATTCACTGCAATATTTTTCCTTAGCCTGAATTTTCCAGTCTGGTGACCTACATTTATCAGAATCAGTTTAGAATATCTTACTCTTGTAAGTTTTGAGTAAGTACAGGTTTCAAAAAGTAAGCTTAAGAAACCAAAGATCTGAACTTTTCCAAGGTTGATAATCTTGTAAAGCTCTTGTAGACAGCCTTCAGGAACTTGTGCTTGAGACTCAGAAAGGCAACACAGATTCGAATAGTCTTGTACATTATCTTTGCTTTTTTTTTCAATTTCTGTGCATGCTGGTTTGAGCGTGGGACAAGACAGCTCAGGGTCTCTGGCCCTCTGAATCCTGAATCAGCCTTCTCAGGAGAGCTCTGTAGAGACATCCTGCATTATATCCCTGCTTTGGTGGCTAGTAAGGAGATGCAATCTGCACTTTTAGAATACCGTTTCCGTCTTCTAAGTATTTCAAATTAAAAGAAAAATCTTTGTCAGGTCTCCTGTTTGGCTTAAGCAAGTTTTAAGATGGGGCCCTAATATCCCCACCCAGCACCAGCTTTCTAGGGAAGGAAGGGAGGAGAACCATGTTCACCATGTTCAGCTGAGCTGGCTTTCAGCCACCTATCCTTAGGCAGATGGTAGTCAAGTTGTCCCTGAGGCCACCTTCAAGTCTGAGGAGAGCTACAAGATGGGGTGATCATGTGGGCTGACCCTGGCTAATTACAGATGTTTCCGGGTCACTGAAATTTACAAAAACAAAACAAAACAAAAAAACCTTATTGTTAAAAAAAAAAAATGGGTGTCAGAGTATACTACCACCTGAGCAGTTGGCAAAGAGAGGCAAGGAAAGTCCCCTGCGGTAGTTTAAAGCTATTTTTACTGGATGGGTTTCTCTCTGAGCAGCGGAGGGGTTAGAACGCTGGTTACTTAGGATATCAAGCAGAAAATGTCCCGTTTTTTGTTTTTGGTTTTTTTTTTTTTTTTTTTTTTTTTTTTTTTTTTTTTTTTTTTTTAAGATCAGACCAAATATTTCATTTTATTTTCATCTTATTTTGAGCCAAAGCCATAAACTCTTAAGTAGACAGAATGAGCTCTCCGACAGCTCTTCTCCCAGGTGTGTACGCCCCAGACAATTACATTACACCACAGAATCCCTTAATGCTGAGCCCAGAAAGGAACCCCAAGGCTGATTCTCCCGAGGGAGAGGAACCAGTGGGCGTCGTCTGAGACCGATGGGGGCGTCGGGAAAGTGAGCTTCTGGGACTTTAGGGTGAAAGGAGAGCTACTGCGTTCTCCCGCTTTCCAGCCTGTCTCTACTTTGCTGGATTTTGATTCCCGTTTCTGCTTCTGAGTTGCATTCCAACTCCGGGCTAACATTCGCCAGTAGCTCCCCGGTGTCTCTCTATCTAGAACTTTTTCTTAGTCTTACTTTCTAGGAAGATCCACAGACTTTCCAAGTTGTCAAAGTAGGGTGTATGGAACTTCTTCAGGAAGAGGTCGAACCTTATGATGGAGACTCCTCCATGACCCTTGCGTTTCATTTATTGAGTGTCATTTCAGCAAGGAAAATACATGGTCATTGTTCCAATGTCATGGCCATCCAGCCATACACTTCTCACGTCTGAGAAAAGGTTTATTTTAAAGTCTTCGCTGTCCAGCCCCACGTGAGAGGCTGTCTAGAACTTCTGGCTTTTATTTTATTTTATTTTATTTTATTTTATTATTTATGATGGCTTTAATTTAAAACAAGAACAGAGGAACGGTTCTGCTGCCTGGCGTTCGCTGGCTTTCGCCTTTCTGCTCTCTTGTCTGCGCGTCCCAACCTTTGTGGGTGCCCTGCTCCCCATGGATCAGACTTTTGACTTTCCGAAATTGGTCAGAGGGTGCTTAGGAGGGGTGTGTGTGTGTGTGTGTGTGTGTGTGTGTGTGTGTGTACATACTCACGCCGCGCGCGCGCGCGTACACACACTGAATCACTCTTCCTAATTCTGACACAAGAGATATGCACGGACCAGAGTAATAGCATCAAGCCACACCCCATCGCACAGACCTTCCTTGCCTTGAGTACTTCTTTCTTGTACCAAATTGGCTTTATCCCTAGAGGATTTGGGGATCCTGTCTCCTAAAAAAAAACCTCAGCTGTAAGTCTATGGGCGCTAATACTCTGTAGAAGAGCTCCAACCAAAGACAAATTTTCCTGATAACTTAAGGAAGTCACCTGAAGGCTGAAATTTCACGTTCCCTTAAGAATCTATTGGCTCTGCTCAGTTATCTAATTCTCTTTTAAACTAAACCATCCCTCAGTGAAGAAATACTTTAAGATACTAATGCCCTCCAATTTCTCTGTAATATTTTCACCCAAAAGGTTTCTTTTCTTTTTTTTTCTCTCTTTTCTTTTCTTTCTTCTTCTTTTTTTTTTTTTTGTTTCTGTTCAGGATATATTTCCATCTCCCTAGACCTCACACTGCGTAGTAACAGCAGAGCACTCCCAAGGAAGCGAGCACGCCTCGCGTCTTCCAGCCACCAGCTCTCGGCGTCGCACCAGCGCCCGCCCGTTTCCCTTTTTATCCGCCGTGCCGCAGCGCCGAGGTGGCTGAGGGGGGCCAGGGTTGAGGGTCTCTCGGGCCGGCCCCCCTTCCTAGGATAGGGGTTTGTTTGTTTGGTTCTGAGTCCACCGCAAGACAGTAGACAGGTCCTCCGAAGGTGAAGGGGATGAGAGGCCATCCAGCCCGGAAATTCAAAACTTTCTCCGAGTGCTGTTTGAACTCTGGAATAACGGTCTGGGGACCAGCGTCTTTCAATATAGCCTCTTCCTAAGGAGGCTTCAAGGACCACCCTTCTGTCCTAAGACTAGTCCCTGGCGTGGGAGGATGTGAACTCTTGAGTTCTGGGCGCGCCTGGGAGTTTCTCAGCAACCCAAACTTTCCCGGCCCCCAGCGGACCGGAGCATGTAATCCCACTTCGAAGCTTCTCCGGTGGGGCCTTCCGGCGGCCGGTTCATCAGTCCCTGCTCCTCCCAGGTCTCAGCCAGGGCCCAAGTAAGAGCATCCTGCTAGACGCCGGGAAAGAACCTGTATCTGCCAGAACTGCGGCCGGAGCGATCACGTTTCGCGGAGGTGAACTGAGTCGATACAGGCGGATTTTATTGGGAAAGCAGTTTAAGTATTGCAAATAGGTCATCATTTAAAAAATTAACTCGTTTTTTAGTACTAAAGCAACACGCGGAAATCCATTTTTAAATTTTGATTAGAATTCGAAGTTGAATGGCGGTGATGTGATTTTTCTTTGATGTGTTGCCGGAGCACAAGCGAGCAGTTCTTGGAGCCACGAGATCTTTCCTCCGCGGAAGACGAGCCTTTCCTTAGGAAAAGTTCGGCTTCCTTTGGCGTGACCCCCTCCCCCCCCAGGAAGCAGTGTGTGTGTGTGTGTGGGGGGGGGCAGAGAGCCGAGCTGGGGACCCAGAGCCTCCAGGCTAGATGAGTGTCGCCTGGGTCCCCAGCTGGGACATGCGCTCTGGGCCGGGAAGACGCGCGCGCGCAAGCCAACTTGGAGAAGCCAGGCCACACACTCCTCCTTACTGGGTCACGCTATCTAATAGGTCCCCTTCTTGGCTAGTGATGTCCAGGCCCTAGCGCAACTGGACAGGAGCTGTATCTTCCCCCTCCCCCCTCCCCCTTCCCACCCCTCCGGAGAAGGTGGATTCGCAAACATCCCGGTTTTGCCCGGTGCGTTTTGGTGGCGAGGTTTTTGGTGTTTGTTTGTTTGTTTGTTTGTTTGTTTTTGAAGGTTGCACCGAATCCTGGACAATCTGCGACAGTTTCTCTATTTCCTCTTGGTGTTCCCCTGCCCTTCCAGCTGTCCGCGGGTCTTTGT